CCCTCTATGAGGTGGATTGATTCAGTGACTGGGTTAATAGGGATGGGAGTGTCAGAGACAGTGCAATTGGCACAGGATAGAGCAGGGTTTAGGGCTATTATACGTAGGGTCGCTATGAGTTGCAAGCGACTCGACGGCACATAACAACAACAACAATGGTACTCTTAGGGTACAGGTCACACACTTCTGGACCACGGAGTATATACCATGGTGCCCAAGTAGACCATGGAGTTCAAGAGAACAAACTCATCCGTCTTGGAAGAGGGCTCTTTAAAGGTAAGGATGACACATACTTTCAGGGCGCTATCAGGAGGGGTCAGTCCCTGGAAATGGACATCATTCTTGCAAAATGAGAGGATCAGAACAGGAGAAGAGGCCATAAACACTAACCGCCTGACAGAGTTACTGCAAGAGCGGGCTTCAGCACCGGGGAGACTGTGAGTCAGGCACAGGATCTGGCAGAGTTCCGTTCTGTTCTGCAGACTTGGCTGCAGAGAGGAGGCACTCCACAGGGCCTCAGGACAACTCAGTCACACTTATTAAAATCCCTCAGGAGATTATCTGCGTGATTACTGACTATTAAGGACTGAGATGGGGAGCTCAAAGGCAAAACAATAAGTCTGTATTCACATAGAACAATAGGGAAAAGAGAATCAGGAACGGGGTGGGGATGCAGCTAACTGCCCCCACGAGCAACCATCTTCCTTGCCAAATATTCTGCCAAATTAAACGTGTGTGTGTGTGTGTGTGTGTGTGTGTGTGTGTGTGACAACTGCCAAATATTCTGGTCAAAGATGCCACCGGAAAATTCTTCACCGAAAGGAAGAAAACACAGAAAGCATAATTTAAAATTCTCATGGACTTTTTTCTGAAGTCAAAGAGGGTAGATATACCTCTGACACCATTGCCCTGAGATAACTGTAAACCATAAACCAAAAATATCCCCTGAAATTGTCTTGAAATTGAACAAATACAATAGGTCAGCTTAACTAATAACGGCATGAGATTATGCTCTTTTAGTAATCATCTCTATGGAGCTTTCTATATCACTAGAACAGAACATAAACAGAACTGCCAGACTCAAGCTGGATGTCGAAAAGGCCGTGGCACCAAGGATATCACTGCTGATGTCAGATAGATCTTGGCTGAAAACAGAGAATACCAGAAGAATGTCTATTTGTGTTTTATTGACTATGCAAAGGCATTTGACTGTGTGGATCACAACAAATTATGGCAAATATTGAGAAGCATAAGAATCCCAAAACACTTAATTGTGCTCATGTGAAATCAATAACTAGGCCAAGAGGCTACTGTGTAAATTGAGCAAGAGAAAATTACATGGTTTAAAATTAGGAAAAGTGTGTGTCATGGTTGTATCCTTTTTCCATACTATTTATGTGCTAAGCAAATTATTCAAGAAGCTGCACTCTGTGATGAAGACTGTGGTGCCAGGGTTGTAAGAAGACTCATAAATAACCTTTGTTATGCACCTGTCACAAACTTGCTTGAGAAAGTAAGGAGGACTTGAAGGACTTGTTGCAGAAGGTTAAACACTGCAGCC